GCTCGCTCGCTCGCTCGCTCGTTTGCTCGCTCGCTCGCTGGCTCGCTCGTTTGCTCGCTCGCTCGTTTGCTCGCTGGCTCGCTGGCTCGCTCGCTCGTTTGCTCGCTGGCTCGCTCGCTCGCTCGCTCGCTCGTTTGCTCGCTCGCTCGCTCGTTTGCTCTCGTTTGCTCGCTCGCTCGCTCGCTCGTTTGCCTCGCTCGCTCGCTCGCTCGCTCGTTTGCTCGCTCGCTCGCTGGCTCGCTCGTTTGCTCGCTCGCTCGTTTGCTCGCTGGCTCAGCTGGCTCGCTCGCTCGTTTGCTCGCTTGCTCGCTCGCTCGCTCGTTTGCTCGCTCGCTCGCTCGTTTGCTCTCGTTTGCTCGCTCGCTCGCTGGCTCGTTTGCTCGCTCGCTCGCTTCGCTCGCTCGTTTTGCTCGCTCGCTCGCTCGCTGGCTCGCTCGTTTGCTCGCTCGCTCGTTTGGCTCGCTGGCTCGCTGGCTCGCTCGCTCGCTGGCTCGCTCGCTCGCTCGCTCGTTTGCTCGCTCGCTCGCTCGTTTGCTCTCGTTTGCTCGCTCGCTCGCTCGCTCGTTTGCTCGCTCGCTCGCTCGCTCGCTCGTTTGCTCGCTCGCTCGCTGGCTCGCTCGTTTGCTCGCTCGCTCGTTTGCTCGCTGGCTCGCTGGCTCGCTCGCTCGTTTGCTCGCTGGCTCGCTCGCTCGCTCGTTTGCTCGCTCGCTCGCTCGTTTGCTCTCGTTTGCTCGCTCGCTCGCTCGCTCGCTCGTTCGCATCGCTCGCTCGCTCGCTCGCTCGCTCGCTCGCTCGCTCGCTCGCTCGCTCGCTCGCTCGCTCGCTCGCTCGCTCGCTCGCTGGCTCGCTCGCTCGCTGGCTCGCTCGCTCGCTCGTTTTGCTCGCTCGCGTTTGATAGATAGATACTTTATTGATCCCAATTTAGGAAAATCCTCTATCTATCTATCTATATCAGCACAATATGAGGAAATGGGTCCTTTTCTTGATTAGGATCCCCATTAGCACTAGCATTAGCATCAGCTGTTCTTCCAGGGGTCCACACAAAACAGTCAAACACACATTTACACACTATAACCACATACATTATACTGTATATACAAACACAACAGCTGATCTCATGTCATTAACACACTTCACGGAAGTGAAATAAAAATGATCATCCGTCCAACCAATCTTAAGCCAAACAAAAAATGAACAGTCAAACAATTATTATTTACTTACTATTACATAATAGTTAATAGCACACTTCTAGAACAAATACAGAGTAATTCATGGCAAACACAAGTCCTTGTCCATAATCAATTGTATTGGTCTATCCTGCACTTTCCGATATACTTAATACAAAATAATTGTAAATTATAAAAACATTAAAACAAATAATACTAATATAATATAATTAATATATAAGATAACAAATAGAAGAAAAATTATAATAAAAAAAATATATTAAATTCCTAAATCTAACAAAATATATAAATTAATGAAAATGGTCACAAATGTCCACTCAAGAAAGCTTCTTTAGTTCCTGCTGGATGTATATCTGCTTGGTGCTTTCACCTGAACAGAGCAGTCTGTGTGTGTGCACACTTTGTGTTTTATACACAAAAAGCTCTGCTGTTTTGAAATGAGACAGTGAAACAGAAAGGACACAATGAGTGATATGAAGGTGTGAAACGGTGGGGAAAGGAACAGTAGGAAAATAACCGATTTTATTCGGAAAACATTTGATTTTTACTTTTAACTTAAAGAAAACCAGTTTTGGTTTAATATATTATTTACACATCAGTAGATCTGCTTCTCTTTACAATTGGTATCTTTTTACCCCATTATTTATTTTTATTTTATTTGTATTTCTCTCTCCAGTTTTGCCTGTTTGTCTCGGCTGGACTGTATGTCTTTTGTCTGAAATAAAGCATGATATCCTTGCCACAGAAATACTGTATGACTGCTGTACAACTATGGGGTATAGAGTTTTAGTTTGGAAAGAGTGTTTCCAACACATATGAATGTTTGAGGGTAACCAGCTCATTGCTTTTTGGTTTAAAAAGAAAACGTAAAGATGGGACCTAAAGTGTTTTTTTTGGAATAAGCTCCTTACTATATTTTTCCAGGAGAAATGGTGAAAGCCCTGCAAAAGAGAGGAAGGATTTTGACAGCCCCCCCCCCCCCCCCCTCTGCAGAGGCATCCTAACCCCACCTCACTATCATTAATGTTCAATAACACTCTCAGGCTCTGGCTGACGCACACATGTTTCATCAAATATCAGCAGGCAGCCTGCACTGAGAGAATGAGAATCAATGGAGCTCGGCCCGCAGCCACACAGAAGGTGATAGGCAAACACAGTCCTTACCCTCAAACCTGTCGGCTTCACAGAGGAACAGATGATTGCCAACATAACTGTGTGTGTGTTGGGGGGGAGCTCTACCTGCCCTGCTGAAGTGTAGTCACTCCAAGAGCATAATGCAGGCAGGACACTCTCCTGATATTGAGAGCAAAAGATACTTTGAATACAATTTTAGTGCATGTAGATGGTATGCAAAGGCTCAAATCCCTGTGTTCAAACTCCGAACAACAAAGAAAGTGCAGATATTCACTTCAAGTCAAACCGTGGTAAGTGATGTTGAAGAAGTTTCAAGGCCTATAATGAACTTTTTTAAGTGCTCCAGCATTTGGATGCTCAACTTCAGTATCTCCTGTTGTCTAAGAATAGGTTTTGTTCCTACCACCTGCTTACATGTGGGGTTTAAGCATAAACTGATGCCTTGAGCGGTGCGTTCAAGTGCCTCTCAAGAACACAATAACCTATACAACCAACAGGATGAGGTGGAGGAGGTGCTCTTTTCAAACCAAACTACATTCAGCTGGTCTAAGACATCAGGATTCCAGAAATCTCTTTTTACCCCTTTCAGCTTTATTATTCAACTTTGAGCTTTTTCTCCATCTTAAGCTGCCAAAAAAAATCCCCAGCATTTCCTTTCATATTTAAAATGCCAACCAAGGTGTGGCTCACTTTTTTAAAGAGAGCTCTCCGTGATTTCTGAACTTTTCCAAAAATGCTGATGAGCCCACATTCAGAGACAAACCCCCGTCTTTGAGCTTACCTTACCAGCTGTTTTGGGCAGCTGTATAATTCATATGAATAAGTGAATGCATTATTCATGTGTGATAATTCTATTATTCATACTACAACTTATTCATGTATTATTCATATGTCAACCACACAACTTTGTCTTGTGTCTGCTGCAGAGTGGAGGACACAGTGGAGGAGGTGGAGGTTGAGCTGCTGCTCCTCAGAAGTGGAGCCCCCTGCTGGACGACAGGTGGTGGTCCTGCAGACCCCGAGCCCATTTAAAAAAATTCATACCTGTTATTCCTATGGTCTAAGACAGTCCAAAAATATAAAAGAACAGGAAGTCTCCCACAAATACAAAAACAGATGCTAAAACTTTAAAGTGTTATGAGTATAACGTCTGGAACGGCTCCATTCAAGTTTCAAGGCTTTTATTGTCATTTGTACATAGCTACAGTGTAGATATGTCAATGAAAATCTGAGGTCACAGGCTCCTCCAACAGTGCACCACAATAAAACTGATACAATTGTTAAAATAGCAAGTAATACCAATAAAATAGAATAGTGCAAGGAGAGTCTACATACAAGTAATTGGAATATGATATATTAGATAAATAATTTGTAAGTTGCAAACAGATTAATGTTATGGATGTTCTTTCAAAAGTGAATTCACAATGAATTGAGAAAGATGTAATAGATTACATTTAGCGCACCTAGAGACTTCTGAGTATGAGGATATTTTCTGTATTTTTTCAGTGGTGTTAGAAGTACGCAGACTCTTCACTTGAGTAAAAGTAGCAATAGATTGTAAAAATACTTAATAAAAGTAAAACACCTGCATTCAAAGTTTTAATAAGGTAAAAGTATTGGCTTCAAAATATACTTAAAGTGCAATAAGTAAAAGTACATGTTAAACGTAACGGCCCATTTCAGAATCATGTATTTAAAGGTGGGGGAGGTACGTTTGAGAAACCGGCTCAAGATACACTTTTTGTTATATTCCATGGAATGCTCTTAACATCCCGATAGCAATGAATATTTTAAGTGCTTTGACAAAAAATCCATAAAAAAATGTAATCTGTGGAAGCCGTACTGTAAAAAGCACGACCAATCATTTTAGCCGGCCCGGCTAAAATAACTGGATGGCCTACCTGCCTGTCAGCCTTCCATCTGTGCACAAACTTATCTCGTGCCCTCATTGGTCATGTGCGCGTTCGTGTGTGTTGGAGGAGGGGCTCTGTAAGGAAGTGACAGATTTTCTCCGGCTGTGTATTTTCTAATTCTAGCGATCTCGAGCCGGTTTCTCAAATTTACCTACCCTACCTTTAAATACTGGATTTTGATTATTGATGCCTTTATGTGTTCTTCACAGCTGGTCATTTTTGCTGCTGGATATTTTAACCTTTTAATTTATAACAGATCACCACTGTCTGTTTTGCAACTGATTAAACTATATTAGAGTAAAGCTTATGTGGGTCTCCCATTCATTCCTTATGAGCAGCTGCAGACTATACATGATCAAATAACAAGTCTTGCTTCTCTGGTGTTTCTCCAGGTTGATTTAACCTTCCTAATTTCTGTGGTTTTCCTCTTAAAACAACCAAAACATCAGTGGAGGAGAAAGCCAAGAATACGTCCTGAACTTTTAAGTATTCAATCTGTTCCCCTGACTTAAATGCAAACAATGTTCTCCAATTGTGTACATGCATATATACTGTATCTGCCAAAATGATGTTTTGATCGTAAAAAAAGAGGGGGTAAAGGTGAAGCTTGTATGGACTATTAACTAATCCTTCGACAGCTTCCTCTCTTCTTCAGTCCTCCCTGCTCATGTTTACAATGCTTGTTCATGTGAGAATCCTCTGCTCTCTACCTCCCTCTGCTGTCTGCCTTCAGTGCTATGGAAATGACAAAGACACAGACACCAAATTACAGGAAGGAGATTTATTTCTTTATCAAAGCAGTTAAAGCAGCATTTTTTAAACACGGAGCGGTTCCAGTTGGTACAGTAACAAGGCTTTTCACCGATCCCCCGTAAAGACCCTGCGGCACAAGAAAATTATGCAAAATAGGATCAAGAGGAGGAAAAGAGTGGCATGAATCACATTTTATTCCCCTCGATTATTTGTTTTCTCAACAGGGCACTGAGTTTCAAAGTGTATCCACAGAGTTAAGACATCTACAGGATGGCACGCCTCGAAGGTATCCATCAGAAAATGGCTGAATAGGAGACATGCTGTTGCTGGTCAAACACTAGCACAACGGCTTTTTTTTAAACAGCTAACGGCATTCAGAACATTAACACAAAGAAACATGTCGGAAGGCTTTGCAAGCATGGTACAATCAGGAATGATCACCGATATCAAGGAACAAATACTGTAGAAGAGTATTGTAACTTAGAAAAAAGCTACACTTAAATGACCTTTAAAATCAGTTATTATCCATTTACAAATGATTAACATTAGTACACATCCACTTCAGGCCTATATCGATTTAATGGTGTGTAAACTGGTTTAGGAGAAATTACTGAGCTTTCTTTTCCAGAAATGGAGACATTCAGTGTTTTCATTATGTAGCTTATTCTGTGTTGGGGTGAAGTTAAAGCCTGCCCCAGTTCCAAATGTGCTTCCTTTGCTGCACAGTCAATAACGCAACACTTAATCCACAACGGAGCATCACACACCACTGCTGACCTCATTCCACTCATCCAGCAAGGGTACGAGCCTGTATACTTGACAAAGCATTAAGACAACCTACAGGATGCCGTGAGGTACTGCATCTCACCTAAAAGTATCATGCCGTCCATGTAACACTGGGATTATACGATTTTTTTTACAGTTTAAAGTTCACAAAATTCACTGTCCAGAAACATTCCTGCAGGCCATTTATACTCTGATGTGGACTGTGTCTATAGTCAGGTGAGCCAATACGAAAGCTTGTGCATGCACAAATCAGCCAGTAAGGCTCAAGCTCCAGGCTTTGGCAAAAACAGGCTTATACTGTAGGTACATGCAAAAAAAGCGCAGGGCTCAACACTATTAAATTAATCATATATTTGGCAGACTTTGAAGATGCCGCTTTATATCCTTTTAAATAAGCTACTTAATCTAATCACAATATAGTGTTTTAAGAAATACTTCAACATTTCGGGAAATACATATATTCGCTTTCTTTGTTCAGCAAATTTTCCGAGACCCCATTATTGCAAAACCCATTTTATCCGTAAAATGTAAAATATGTTATCCCAAAAACAATATCCATTGCTCCAAAGGCCTATTGCTCTGAAGATACACACTCTCACTCTTTTACTATTAAGGCAAAGGCTTTCCCTATTCTGCCTCTTGTTGGCTAACATTATTTTTACCATAACCAACAACAGAGACCGCGAGTCCAGGTCCGATGAAGTCATTGACCTCTGTTTGTTAGAGGGTGTTACTGGGAGCATTTGGCCTCCAGAACAATGGCCTTTGGGATAACAGGCTTTGGACCAACTTGTAATATGAAGGTATCAGGATAATGAGCCTTCTGAAAAATTGGCAGTCACCAAGTTAAGGAGATGGATGCTCTCCACTGTTCCTAAAGTATGATTCTGTGGCTAGGAGATGATTAGCCTAGCTTAGTGGAAGCAGAACGACAACAGAGGAAGCCAAGCTAGCATTGAGGTTAGAACGCTTAGTCTTTTGTTCCATAGTTATTATTATTAAAAGTGTGGGACAAGTTACTTGCTCTTTGTAATAGTAGTTACATTATTTTATTATTTACTTACCGAGCAAAGTTATTAACTTACTAAACTTAGCTATCTCTTCAAGTCACAACAAACCATCAACAGCTAGCTTAATGTTAGCGGCTAACATTAGCAAGCCAGATAAGAACATCAACATTGTAATCATATTAATGCGTTTTTTTCTCTTTTGGTAGAAAGGTAACAAGGCACCTCTATGGTATCAAGCTAACGTAATGGTCTGTCAACTGAGCGTAGAGAGACCAAACTGATATAAAACCTAGACCGTACTGCCGTTAAACAGGGAACAAGCCCAATACTACATTGATACATTAATGTTACAATGCCAGTGTATAGATCACACATTTGCTGTGCTTTTGTTAGCTGAATTAACTCCAATAAGTGGGTTATCTTTTCTATTTGTATTTTTCTGATGTTTGGCCAGTCCTTAAATAGGCACGCCAAAGGCAGAGTTGGGTGTAACGCGTTACTGTAATAATATTACTTTTGTCGGTAACGGAGTAGTGTAACGCATTACTTTTATAATTCAGTAATCACACTACAGTTACTAACATTGCCCCGACACGCGTTACTTCGTTACTTTTATAAAATCAGTCATAATCACACTGACAGACAAGAGGGGTTTCCGCCGCAGGTTTATATGTACGTAATCTGCGCGACTTGCGCGTCCACATCTCCACGTGCAGTGCTGCATAAACATGGCAGAGTCAGCGATAACTTTCGAGGGGTGGAGGTATGCCCATTATTTTGAGTTCGTCCGAAGAATAGACAGGAATGTGACGGTGAGGTGCAAACTGTGTCCAGGCCAGAAGCTGTTATCCACTGCTGCAAACACCACGTCAAACCTCAACAAACACCTGCAAAGAACACATGCTAAGGTGAAGCTAATAGCTAAGGACCCCCGAACCCAGAGTGAGGATGTTGTGAGTGCGCCGCCGCCGACTCCGAAGCGGCACAAATTAGAATTTGGAGGACCGGTAACCAAAGCAGAGATGGACAGGCTTGTAGAATCCTTCATAGTAGAGGTAATGTTGCCCATTTGCACAGTGGAATCACCATCGCATCGTTCAGAGATATACTGCGCAAAATACAGATAGCAGGAGACAGAGGACAGCCATGGTCAGAGCTATCTGGATCAGTCTTATGCGACAATGGAAACTGAACTAAAGAGAACATTTGAAACTTTAGCAGTCTGCGTGATCTGCCTGTAGGGAGGGGCGGGCCGGCCCTGCGAGTAAAGTAACGAGTAAAGTAACGAGTAAAGTAACGAGTTACTTTATGTAGAGAGTAACGAAGTAGTGTAATATATTACTTTTTTTTAGTAACGACCCCATCTCTGGCCAAAGGCATTCTAAAGTTTATCAAATCAGGATAAGGGTATTATAATTTGTGTAGCCGAGCTTTTTTCTTATCAACTTAGATTTGTTAGAACATATTTTCAACTTGAATTGACTGAAAGTGTTCTTATTAACACATGAACACTACTGTGTAACATATGTTTACAGATATATTTAAGAAGTACAATATAAGACAAGCTCAAGTTTCATTTGTGGGCCGCATTCCATTATACCTTTTGAATTTGCTGAGGGCCGATTCAAAATGGCCTGCGGGCCACATTTGGCCCCCAGGCCGTAGTTTGGACACCCCTGTTCTAGAGTCTCCTAAAACAGCTAGCCTGGCTTTCTCCAAAGTTTAGTATCCACCTACTACAGTTTACAAAAACTCACTGCTCCACATTTGTGAGCATGAACTTCTTCTGACATTAATTAAAATGAAAGTATTTTTTTAATTACTGTTGATACCGTAATAAGGATTTTTTAACTTAAGAGTCAAGCTAGCTGCTTTCCCCTGCTGCTAATCTTTGTTTAGTTAGGCTAATCGCCTGTTTGCTCTAGACATGAGAGGGATCATCTCCTGTTTTCTTGTAAAGACAGCCAATAAGTGTATATCCCAGAATGTATACATTTAGCTTTAAGGTCTTCCTCTTACCTGAAATAGTTACTTTATACACAATATAACTGTATAAATGATAGTATTTTCACTTGCAGAAGGAACATTGACTTCATACCAGGGAAAAAGAGACACACAATCACACATTCAGAGTTCCTTAGAAATGGTTATGCAAATGGTAGAAAAGCTTTGGCATATTTTGCCTACAAGTTGTGCCTGCACACTTGGAAAGAAGAGCAGAACAAAAGCTCACAAGGCTCTTCCTTTTTTATATGTCGAGTTTGCAGTCCCACATAAAACTGTGGTGAGTTAAATTACCTACACTGTATGCTATTTACACGTTTTTACTTTATTTGATTAGGCCTTAGGGTTTAAGGTGAACCTTTGCTACATGTTCCCAGGTGTTCAGACTGAAGAGATGAATGGGACCCCTTAAATGTACCGCTATCACTATGACAGTAACAGGCTAGCTCATCTATATGATTTGAAGTACCAACAGGGCACAGCTACACATGTAAGTACAGCCCTGGAACAAGCTCAACAAGATCTTTATAACCAAGCACTTAAAGAGATGATGAAGTAAGCAGAATTCTCTAATAGATTCTTAAAAATGGGATTGTTAGTGATTGGCATTTACAGTATTCCCCCAAGAACAGGTTCTGATGATGAGTCAGATAATGGAGCAGGGCTAAAATACATCTTGGTAACAATCACAGACAAGCAACACGTTCTTTCTGATTGCTGCACTGATTTCCCATCAATTATAGAAGCTTATCATCCTAAAAAAGATTGGAAAAATAAGTTATCTAACACTTATGGCGCTTTTCCACTGCAGGACCTAGCACGGCTTAGTACGGTATGGTTAGGCCTTGGTAGGCCAGGCTCACTTTAAGCTGCGTTTCCATTACAGTTGAGGATCTGGGGTAGTAACTATAGTAACGCAGTGTAGGCGGGGCGATCGGCTGTTCGGCGGGCGGAGCAACGCTGCGAAAGACTGCCGTGACGTCATCTTCAATGCGAACCACAAAACCAAAACATCAGCAGTTAGCTGTTAGCACTCAGAGCTCACAGCTCCTCATATCTGTTCAGAAACTAGACAAAGTACAAACCACAGACTGTCTGTGTCATGGCGAATACAGTCGCTGGTTTATTTATGTCTGTAGGCCGTTGTTGTGAGTGTGGACGGAGCATATACAACGTTAGCTTAGCCTGATCGATCCGATCTCCATTCAGAAAACACGCATTTTAAAATATTTTTCGCCTGCCGTCTTGTCTGCAGACCGGTATCAGTATGTTGTTACTTCGGCATCATTTTGAAACGTGTATTACAATTAAATCACGGTCAAATATGTTCATTTTGTTGTAGTTGTAGCCCCCTTGCCAGCAATTCTCTCTGACCATTCAGCAGTCGAGAGTGTTTACGTCACTAGTTTAGCATATTCAGCCCGGTTGTTGGCCCGGTAAGAACCTCGATTTTGGAGGGCCAGAAAAAAGGTAAAAAAGTAGCCCTGAGCCGGAACTACCCCTAGTGGAAAAGCAAAATAAAACGTGCTACGTGCTGCAGTGGAAAAGCGCCATTAGAGAGGAAAATCAAACTAACATTCTGACCTTTAATGCACCCATTGCTACGATGAGATTAACGAATACTGATTATCATCGACAGGCACAACTTGAAACGGGTTTACGACATGAAACCAGCCGCACTTTCTTGGCCTGTCTGAACACAGCCACTTACTGTACATGTGTCTCGGAGAAGTTGCTCCAGGAGAAACCAGCGTTTTGAATTGGGGCACACATTACATGAAAGAGACTGGGGGAGAGGAAGAGTGAACTGAAGACTCAGGCAATAGCGTAAACTGAGTGGCTGGCTGCCTGTGCTGAATAATTCAGTCGCCCCCATCAGATTTTGAACACCCTAAACCACAATGGCCCAAAGAGCGTGGACGGCTATTTCTCGGGATGTCATCATGCTCGTGGAGCTTCCTGCTTGTGAACAACTCCTCCTAGTAAGTGATACTTTATTTGTCATGCTATACTGTAAGATTGCATAGAAGTTAGAGCTTACTCTAGGGCGTATGGGTGCAGGAGGCGGGGACTCTCTGGAAATCTGCTTCATTCATGCCCTACCTGAAGGATGCTACAGGGGGAAAAAGAGGGAAAATTGGGGGTCCTGCTGTGCGGCCCCTCCACTCCTGGCTACAACAGAGAGAGGTGAGAATGTTTCTATTGGCATGGCACAGACGCTGCAGCTGGCAGAGAGCCTGCGAGGGTCTCTGAGGCGCTGAAAGGCTAGCTGCTGCCGGGGGAGGAGCACACCGAGCCGCACATGCTCCGTTTGGAGGAGGTCTCGGGCTCCGGCTCGGGGTCCGGCTCTGGCTCGGGTGCATCCTCGTCGGTGGCCCCGCCCTCGGCCTCCCCGTCCCCGTCTCCACTGGCATCATCCACCCCGGCCTCGGGCGGACCCTCCTCCTGACGCCTTTTCAACCTGAGGGAGAGAGGAACATGAGGAAGCCCCTTTGAGACATGAACTTATATTATCTAGACAAGAATATCAGATATAAAGCTTTAAAAATGTTTCCACAGCCCTTGAAGTGAATTTCCGAGAAAATAATTAAGGCCTTAACAATTTTGGACAAAAGACAAAAGTAGACTTTAATAAAAGTTTTGAGATTTTATTAAAGAGAAAAATGTGATTTAATTTGATAATTTGTCTAACTTAATGTAAGTAAATAGGCTACTACTAATTATGATATACCATTATGGATCACCTGGAAGAATACAAATGGATGAACATCATGAAAATGATGTACACACTTAAGGATTACTTATGGCCATTCTGCATAATGAGCACTTTTGGTACATTAAGTATATTTGGATGCTCCAGTCTGTTTGTACTTATACTTAAGTACAATTATGAATGCAGCACATTTACTTAACAGAGTATATGTGTACACTCTGGTATCACTACTTTCCTGGCCCGCCCCCCCCCCACTGACACTTTACCTCAGCCATAACGCAGACTCTATATGCATTATTACATTAATGCACACAATGTTCAAATATTGTTCAAATATTGCTTACTACACATATTTCATATTTTATATTCTATAATTCACTGCATTCTATTTCGCTGTAAATTACTGCTTAACTTTATTGTATTGCTATCTATCTATATATTTTTTACAGTGTTCTTAATATAGTTCGCTATCTGTGTACTTTTTTTAGATTTTTAGTTTTATGTTTTATGTATGCACCATGACATCAAGTCAAATTCCTCGTACGTGTGAACCTACCTGGCAATAAACCCGTTTCTGATTCTGATTTCACTTAAAGGTCCCATGTCATGCTTTTCTGGTTATTACCCGTCCCCTTGTGTTATGAAGGTTTCTATGCATGTAAACGGTGTGCAGAGTCACAAACCCTCAAAGTACACCCTGTAGCGAGTAAAACTCTAACACAGAAAATACCTGTCTATGCTGCCCCAGAACGCCTCGTTGGAGATTTCTCTTTTTCTTCCTGGGTATGGTGACGTGCCCATACCCAAATGGACCCACCGTGTACAGTGGGCTCACAGGGGGGGGGGGGGGGGGGGGGCAGGAGCTCCAACAAGCCGTTTAGGACAGAGAGTGAATACACATACTATACAGAGATGCTGTATGAGAAACCAATGTGAGTTTGGAACATTGAACAATGTAAATGTATTCTAGTAGACCTCAACAATGGAATTATGATCAGTAGAAATGGCCATGACATGGGACCTTTAAGTACAAGATCTGAGTACTTCTTCCTCCACTGTGTGTTGGTTCCTTCAATTTGTGAGAATTGGGCCTGTAAGTTATTGAATTAGATTTCATGATTTATATTGCTACTCGCTTAAAACGGCAAGAAACCAGAAATCCTAAAGGTGAAGAAGAAGGAGATTTAATTAAAGATGGCAACGAAAACATCTCACTGGGAGATGACAGGGTTCTGTCGGTAAAGGCCAGCGCTGAAATGTTCAGGCAAATTCAAGGCATGTCAACAGACTTGGTTTTTATGAAAAAATGAAGAAATCAGTTAGACAAACAGAGAATATGATCTGCATACATGCACATTAGGTAGACCTCTTAATCTGATTTGAATTCTAAGCCCTTTTGGAAGTTCAGCCCCCCTCATTTAGTCCTCAGAAAAGTAGTAACAGAAACACAGACAGAAATAAATAGCGAGTGGTTGAACGTAATGAGAGGCTTTGAGTTTATTATATAGTACTCATCTCTGCTGTGCATAATTCTAGATATTATGCCCTCCATTATAAATAGAAGCAGATTGCCATTAATTAGAGCAAAGGGCTATAAAAAGACATTTCCCAAACAGGAGGGTTCCAGTAACAGAGCAGTGGCAGGGCCCAGTCAATAATAAATGAGGCAATCATTTAGAGCCGCGCTGAACCAATATTCCTCCATTAACATCGCAGAGAGGACACATATCCAATGAGAGATGGACCTCATAGTCTATATTTATGATGTACTGTGTATATTTTACTGACATCTACAAAAAGATTAGATGCATAATATTATAGCCGCAGAAGGGGGGGCTTTTATAACCTTCTGTCATTTACGATTTACTGAACGTATCCAAGTCATTTCCTCACAAAGGCTTGGCGGTCAGACAGGTTTGGAATACAATGCACTCCTCTCCTATAAACTAAATAACTTCCTGTACCAGAAACTTTATCCAGATGCACCGCACACTTTATTTTGTCTTATAGCTCATAAATGAGTATTTGCTGTGCAGCTGATAATCTCCTGACGCCGTTCTCGCTTCAGGGCACGTTCACTTTTAGCTCCACGTGCAAGTCTTTGTTCAAATGCAGCTGGTGGTGGGGGATACTTTAAACTCTTTATTACAATAAAAGCATTATTTGTGAACCTTTAAGTAAAATGATAAAAAAAACTATTCCTTTAACCTGTTAAGCACCAAGCCTGTTTTTCATGTTTCAGGCTCGAAAATGACATGCCCAAAACAAATGACTACAACTTAACTTCTAAAAGGGTTATATGAATAATTTCTTTTATCAAAGCAAGGTTACATCTGTGAGTTGGATGTAGAAGTGTCAGAATCAATATAAATGTTTTTTATTTTAAAGAAAATTCAGATTTTACATAGTAAAAAACTGTAAATTATAGTGTCCGTCCAAAAATTATTTTTTACAGAGAGTGAAAACTACCCTTGGATGATGGGTTAGTAGACTAAAAGCTTTAGGAATCCAAAGTACAACATATAATAAGTACCCTGTATCAAGATTGATGCAAAACAAGTGACATTTGACCTTTTTAGAGAGGTTTAGCCAAAACCACCCCACCTCTGAGGTGATTTGGGTGAAAATGTTTTCTTTTCCATATCTCTGGCCCCCCTTGCTCGATTTGGATGGTTGACACCTCTTTCTGACCGTTAGAGAATAGAATCGAAGGGGGTGGCTCACACACACACACATTGTGAAGAGAAAAGGTGGGGGCTGCGCGCATGTAAATGTCCAGCAGAGTGAAGGATTTCTAGCTCTGGCATTTGGAAACGAAAAAGCAGTTTTATTTCTTATGGATTATCAGACATAATTTCAAAGAAGGCACAGATACATTGGATGAACCTATGGATTAACTGCAGCATCGTTTTTTTATCGTTTTAATGCCATTGAAGACCAGTTTTGACCAAGGTAAGCCATGTTAGCGTTTCTAGCTACTTAGCTCCACATGTTATGATGTACGCTTTCGTTTATAGCGTCGCAAATGTTTATCACTGAGTGTTGAGGTGGGCACCACTAGATTCAGTGTCTCCAGGACACCAAAAACGAGTGGTTGGCTGTGCATCTAGGATAAGTAATAAGGGAGTTATTGTGAGTTTAAGTGCCGTTTTAGGTTACATTTTTTCGCTCGTGGCTAATTCAGAGGCTGAGTGTTAGCATTGTGTTTTTTTTTTAGATTTTTTTTTTAAAAAGATCAGTTAGCTGAGTTTCTTCCCGTTACATGGATATAAAACATTCATAGTTTTATTAAATATTAAGATTCCTTAGACGTTGTTTCCTGCAAATGACGCGTTTATCCGCCCGGTACCGGTCATAATAAACAATCTGGTAAAAACATGACTAGTTCTTTGCAAGTTGTTCAACTTCAACCCATGACTGGCCACAATGTCATCACTGATCATTTTAATGTTTTAGGCATTTAAGGGAAATTGTCCTAATTACATTTTTGAAGGCCTAAAACATCTTTGTTGAGTTCACTGTGACCAAGTGCATGTTTGTAAACATATGACTAAATACAGTAGAGTATTAAAGCTACACAAATGAAGTAAAATGATTATTCCTTTCCAAGAACTTCTACTTAAAATACTTCCCCAACTCTAGGACTGAGGACAGAGAACGTTTCTCTGAGCAGGGAGGCATGATTAGTGTCATCTTCTGACTAAATTCATGTGTGAACAAATCTGACAAAAATGTTGGATTGATATTTTTTTGCTCTAATTGATATATAAGAGGAGTTGGGATATAGGCGCATACTTTGGAGAGTAATGTTAGCACAATGGAGAACCAATGGCCACTGGTGAAAAAACAGTTTTAACGTGTTCTCCTTCATGAAGAAATGATTGTGCCTTTCAATGAAGGAGAAGGGTAGCACAGTGTCATTCTCTTAATAGTTTGCCCTTTGCATCTCTCTGTGTTGATGCATCATGTTATGGACGGTCTGCTGCTCGTGTTCTCTTACTTCTCTCGGTTGAAGATCATGAACTCCTGCTGCACCACTTCAAGGCACTCCTGTAGGTAGTCGTTCTCCTGCAGGCAGAAAACATCAGCATCAATCACAGTATGATCATTAGGAGCTGCGGAGGAAACTACGTCATCTCCAATTATTTGAGGTTGAAATGTCTTTTTCCTCATTTAGCTTTTTATCCTCCGATGCTCTTTTTGAGCGAGTCATGAATTGTTTTGTGCTCCTCAAATTGGATGTTTGGCCCGAGACAAAAATAGAAGCTCATATTTCCGAAAGCACTTGAGGCCATGACAACAGCAGTGAAGGCTTCATAATTTAATAATCCTGGTAATAACGGAGTGCACACAAGAAGGCACACACACACACACACACATATGTATGTACTACACACTCACACACAGAGTCTCATAACCCTGCTATTGTTAGAGGTGCGCTCTTCTTGCAGAAGCTGATCAGCATTGATAAAACACACACACACACACACACACACACACACACACACACACACACACACACACACACACACACACACACACACACACACACACACACACACACACACACACACACACACACACACACACACACACACACACACACACACACACACACACACACACACACACACACACGTTAATAACACTGATGTCATGATGACAGTCTGTTGGGAGACGGCTGTTGTCATAAATACAGAGGATATCTCGCACAGGATTTATGAATTCAATTAAATGTATTTATACGCAAGAAGGTCATTTTTTTAGGTGAAGACATTGAGGCTGGTATGCTATCCCACATTTCTGCATACAGTAACAAGCACCAAAAGTAACCCAACCACAACCACTTGGAGTACAGATATCGCCTTCACAATTAAAACAATGCCTCCTTAAAGAAATGGAAATGAAGGTTCTTCAAGAAAGATAAACCAATAAAAACACAACAAACTAATCACTGTTATTCAGAAAGGTTTAAAAGGCCATAAAAGCAGTTTCTGTGTGACCGTGGCCGTTTCTCAATGTCGAGTAGAGCTGCTGCAGAGCCACTATTTCAAGTATACTACGTCATCGAGTGGCGCCGAAGGACTGTTTAAATGCATGTTAAATGCCCAGCATTCGGCGCCACTCGATGACGTAGTATACTTGAAATAGTGGCTCTGCAGCAGGTATACTCGACATTGAGAAACGGCCAGTATGTGCTGAAAGGAGATCTGTCTCTGTCACTCTGATTGGCCAACTGGGAAATGCACCAAGCTCCTCTCAATTTGTAATCAGGAGCCAGCAGATGATCTGAATAACTCCTAATCAATTCAGGTGAATAATGACAGAGGGAAATCACAACTAACACTGAGGGATAATTATTTTGTTTTAGAACATTTACTCTGGTGTAGCCTAATGTAATGTTCTTCTCCCAAACTTCAGTATGGAGTCTATCTAAAACACCTAAAAACCCCATTGCTATTTATTATCTATCTGGGCTACTAGCTTTTTTTCTAATGATCATCTACGGAAGGGTTTTTGCTCTCGTCCTTTCTCTGGATGAGGTTGTTACTGCTCAATCTGACAGCCGTAGAGCGAGGAGGACGTGGATGCACAACACCATCCATCGGAGACAACAATACGTTGGATATCATCGCCTATTATAGGGGGTACTGTGAAATGGAGCCCTGGACCTATTTAAGGCTAACCAAGGGGCAATTTGACAGTGCTGTCAACAGCTTTTCTTTAACTAGAAGAGCGTTGCTTGGAAGAAAAAAACCGCCATAGGGACACTCCCAAACTCTGTTTTCTGTAAAACATATTTTTATGCTAAGCTAAGGCTGCTGGCTCAGAAACATCAGTACGAAACGGACAGGCGTAAAAATGGTTTTAACTTCTCATCCAACTCCAGGCATGAACATGATTGGTGTAGTCATTTTGACTTGTATAATAATCTACTTAGTAATCTTATTCCCCACAATTCAGGACAAGAGAAATAAAACAAATATAAATAAGTATGACAGTAAACTAGAGACCTTTCAGAAACATCCATAATCTCTAAAGACGCAACTAATCTGCAAACGTACAAGATACCTGCAGCTAGCATGCTTGTACATTAAGTTTATTTTTGTATAAGGAATCTTGTTTTGCAGGAATGAGTCCTAATACCCAGATGAGTCAGCATTTTACCATATCCAGTTCCCTCGTCCGTGTTTTTGGTTAGATGCCCAAAATAAGGTTAACTTTAGTGTTTTACTTTGGCAATTGCACTTGTGTTTCAAAAATCAAAAAGTGCTATCAATATGTCGAGGTTTTTCCTGCTGAGCAAACATATAACTATCAAGTGTGTATTTGTCACGGGTCTTATTTACTTCAATATTCAAAAATTCAAATGGAAAAATCCCATTGCTTTATGTGGGGGGAGCACATGTGATCCTAACCTGGAAGTCGGCCTACACAGACACATCATCACTGCCACACTCCATTCCAGCACTAACAGCCATTGATTGTGTCTTCGGAGCTGAGGCTCACAACAGCTGAGGGAAAAAAGGTTGTGGGATTTGGCTAACCTCCAATCTAAAAATATGCAGTTTTGACAGGAACTGACAGAGCGGAGAGCAAGGTAAACCTGAGCAGCATTATTATCCAAGACTGCCCCCCCTCATCTGCGAGGTATCTATGAGGAACACTCCTATACAGCAGGCTATCATTTCCTCAGACACATGTGGGTGTGCTGGGGTCCTCTTCATAATCATCTGCTTACAGTGACAATAACACGACCTGGATCTGCACAAAGATCACATTAACAGGGAACAGCAAATCATAGCATTGTATAGTGGCAAATCACCATTTTAAATGTGACAAAAGCTAAAAATAGCACTTTCTTTCATCAGAGGGAATACAGGCATTTTAACAGATGCAGTGACATCTTGAATCCCACCTTCATCCTCACAGCTCATAAATCCTCCTCATCACCAGAACACGATACTTTAAACCCCGGGGTTATGCAGCTTTACACTATCTTATCTCTTGTATCTAAAAACGAAAGATGGTGCAGATCTTTAGTTCATCCGAGGAATGTGACCTCTCTTTTTAAATACTCAAATGTACACAAATTGGTCCTTTTCAGTTTGCACGTATGATTACCGTCTGATTTACTCAAAACGAAATAACATTTCTGTTATTTCTTTACACTATTGGTAAAATCGGAAACATTGTGAATCAAGATTAAGGATGTCGCAATGCACTTGAATTGTTGATCACCATAATATATAAAAAATATTCAAATATTCACAACATGTAAATAGTACACAAATGATAATTTCATGTTAATAATCCAGCACCTTAAATATTTTTCCATGCTTTTACAGTTATGATTACTGAATCTCTTCCTGCCCACACTCTTTAAAAGTGTAAAAAAAGTTAATTTGCCAAACAAGAGGAATTAATTGAAATCATAGTCAATAATCACATTTTCTAATATTATATCGTGGGGAAATAAACAATTGAAATAAGTTTGAACTTTGAATTTCTATTCCAAATCAAGTCTGATATGATGTATTTTGATAATTTGATAAAGAAAACCAAAAGTAAATATGTTTAGCTCAGGGGAATAACAGGGAGGCATTTTTATGTTATCAACCCCACTCAACCCAACACACCAGCAGAGATGTCACTCACAGACTGAGAATCCTTGCTATTATCTCGAGATCTGTTCTTGGCCAGCCTCTTCTTCTTCTTGTGAAGGGGACGCGACTCCAGGATCATCTCCTCCAGCTCAAAGGTGGGGTCGCAGTGGAGGCGCCCTTTCTGTGGCAGGGAGATGCACAGGAGATAATAAGAAGCCCCCACACAGGGTCATAAATCAACTGCACTATACACAGAGTGCACAAATGTATAGTGAGTATACAATACTGAATAACACACATAATGTACATGAACCAGAGTGACACACCATGAAGGAGCTGCAATCACTTTCTCATGCATTATTTAGTTGCTATACACACCTTTTACACACTGGTGTTTGCCTCTAAGTGTTTATTGTATGTGTCTGTGTGTGTGTGTCTGATAGCATCAAACTGACATTAGGAACAAATCCGGCCTCGATGGTCTTCTCGTACACGGCGTCCCAGTTGACGTCAGTGAGGTAGGCAGATGCCTGCATGGCAGACAGACTGGAGTAACGATGCTCTGGGTTCACTGTCAGTAGCTGTGAACACACACACACACACACACACACACACACACACACACACACACACACACACACACACACACACACACACACACACACACACACACACACACACACACACACACACACACACACACACACACACACACACACACACACACACACACACACACACACACACACACACACACACACACACACACACACACACACACACACACACACACACACACACACGTCAGGTCACCTTTTATATAGAAATAACACTGTCGCAACTGTTGTTCACACTCACAACCAAACTCTTCTTTCCAGGACATGAAACTTGACAAATTGGAGGTGCAAAACAAAACAAAGTTCTTTTTTTACTGTTTAGTTTACAAGAAATGCAAAGTAGTGTGTATGGCTGGGCTAGCTGAAGTAGAGCCAAATATATTTCGTTTAAATGTACAGTATATAAAATCCTTACCTTCATGTGACTGTTTAGCCATAAGATTTCAATTAAAACTGTATAATTTCAAATTAAATTATTACGTTTTTTTTCTATTTGTTTTACAGGCATGCACACAAGAATATGGAGCCCAAAGGGTTAAATATAAATAGGAAATTAGGAATAACTCAACTATGGTAAAGCAACTATTGTAATTCAACACACTACACACATGAAATGTCTTTTTCTTTATAACTTCTAGCTACCTGCCTAGCCAGCTAACTAGTCAAAAAAGAGAAGCACCAGTGTTAGCCGTGTCAGCTACTTCCTGTTGACTAAAAAGACCACAAAGACTTCACACAGTTGTGTCTTTTTCCAAGAAACATCTCTAGAATAAAGACTCTTCCAGTTAGCTGCTGCTAACACTGACTCTTCTCTTTAGTATGGGGTAAATAAACCATGCTCACAACCAGAGTTGGGTGTAACGCGTTACTGTAATAATATTACTTTTGTCGGTAACGGAGTAGTGTAACGCGTTACTTTTATAATTCAGTAATCACACTACAGTTACTAACATTGCCCCGACACGCGTTACTTCGTTACTTTTATAAAATCAGTCATAATCACACTGACAGACAAGAGGGGTTTCCGCCGCAGGTTTATATGTACGTAATCTGCACGACTTGCGCGTCCACATCTCCGCGTGCAGTGCTGCATAAACATGGCTGAGTCAGCGATAACTTTCGAGGGGTGGAGGTATGCCCATTATTTTGAGTTCGTCCGAAGAATAGACAGGAATGTGACGGTGAGGTGCAAACTGTGTCCAGGCCAGAAGCTGTTATCCACTGCTGCAAACACCACATCAAACCTCAACAAACACCTGCAAAGAACACATGCTAAGGTGAAGCTAATAGCTAAGGACCCCCGAACCCAGAGTGAGGATGTTGTGAGTCGCCGCCGCCGACTCCGAAGCAGCACAAATTAGAATTTGGAGGACCGGTAACCAAAGCAGAGATGGACAGGCTTGTAGCATCCTTCATAGTAGAGGTAATGTTGCCCATTTGCACAGTGGAATCACCATCGCATCGTTCAGAGATATACTGCGCAAAATACAGATAGCAGGAGACAGAGGACAGCCATAGTCAGAGCTATCTGGATCAGTCTTATGCGACAATGGAAACTGAACTAAAGAGAACATTTGAAACTTTAGCAGTCTGCGTGATCTGCCTGTAGGGAGGGGCGGGCCGGCCCTGCGAGTAAAGTAACGAGTAAAGTAACGAGTAAAGTAACGAGTTACTTTATGTAGAGAGTAACGAAGTAGTGTAATATATTACTTTTTTTTAAAGTAATATGTAATATGTAATATATTACTTTTTTTTAGTAACGACCCCATCTCTGCTCACAACCTAGCTAGCTAGTTAGCCGGCTAAGTACTGTAAGTAGCATGTGAAGCTTTTTAAAGCTAACTCTAATAAGTTTTATTGAACATAGTTTAATTGTTATTTCTGTGTACTGTGTATATTTACTGCAGCTAGTTTGGTCGATCGATAATTACTTTGACAATATTGCCCCTTAGGCTCAGGGGCGCCGCCAGGGATTTTGGGCCCCATGAAAAGATATCACATTGGTTACTTAAACATTTTTTTCTTAATGTTCTAAAATTGTTTGGGCCCCTGTCAGTCACGGGCCCTTAGAATCGTCCTAACTTTTCACCCCCTTACGGCGCCCCTGCTTAGGCTAAAAGGAGTACATACTTTCATAGGGGGAAAGTAGAAGGTCAATGATAGAAATATAGAATATAAAATATCAAGAAGATACTGTAAGTGATCTCTACAATAAAACAGTTTAGTGCCGGATGTACAAAGATATTAATAGGAGGATGTGCAAAACAGAAAAACTAATTAACCTTAACCTAAGGGATGTGCAAAATAGCCATTATATACAGTCTTTAATTAACTATTAGTAGAGAATAACGAGTAATGAATTACTTTATAGGGATCTGCAGATAAATGTCTTCTCAAGTACCAAATATCTCGCCTGATTGTTGGCACTTGACAATCACCTTCCCGGAATTTTACTCGGGTGTAACTAAAATCTGATTTAAGGGTTGTTTATATTTCACATCATTAATCAGAATCTGCAAAGTAACTAAAATAAATGTAGTGGAGTAAAAATACCAGGTTAACCTCTGAATTGTAGTGGAGTAGAATTACAAAGTAACAATGAGCTGTCATGTGGGTATATATTAATGCTGCCCATTATGGACACAAGCAATTTTCACCCATTTATTAATGATATGTTTTAAATTTGATAACACCAATGTGTTTCTTATCCCCTAAACCGGTGTACACAGTTTAATACTGGCAACTTCTAATTGTGGGAAAAACTACAATTCCCAGTAGAGACGTGCCTTAGAACATGTTGCGAACACAGGTTGCGAAACACAATAGCCAGCATGTGTAGTTCTGCCGTGGTTTCATTCCATTTCATAGAGCCGTTTGACACTCGGCGTAACCTTGGCACACTGCCACTCCAACATCCAATCACAGAGCTTGAAGATGAATCACGGGGTTTGTCAAGCAAAGGGACTGTAGTCCCAAACGATAGCTGAGGATTCTGGGTAGTGTAGTGTCTTCGGCCATCCTAAACTCAGAAAAAACTATTTGTTTCTCCGAATCGAAGGGGGAAAACACAAAAGCATTGTACACAATTTAAACCAATCAATGTTGTGTAATTAACAAGGATAAACTGATGTTTTTAGTTGATGAGTACTGCAGATTACTATGCAAACTTCGAGACCGGAAATACTGTTTTCACCCCAAGCTGTTGCCTGGCAACGCAATTCTTTTGATAGTTATTTCATATTGCATTAACACCATATCCCAACGTGCATTGCGGCTAAAACATCCAATCACCGAGCTTCAACCATAGCTGAGGATCTTGGGTAATCAGCTCAGTGGGTGTGTATCGCACGTCTGTTTTCTGTGACTTTATTTTTAAATTCAGTTCCTGACGGATGGCAAAAAAGCCCGATATTATAGAATTAAACAAAAAATAAAAACAAGGATAATTGTGTGTTATTGTTGAGTTAATAGCAGTGTGTTATTTAGAAAAGAATAACAAATTAGAAGGAAAAAAAGATTTAAAGAAATACAGATTTCAGTATTCTGAGCCCCATTTATTTTCCTCACGGACGTCAAAAAAAGTCAGACATTATACAAATTAAAATAAAAACAATAAACGTGGCTTGATATTGAGTAAGAACATGTTTTTATGAACCACACAGCTTCCGGTCTTCCAAGACCCGACCGGACAAAAAGACGTGTTGCAGGCACGAAACATACTACCAATAGAAATACATTGCTTTTAAAATCGTTCTGTGTGACACGAAAAAAAGGGGAAAATCGTGTTGGTGAACACGAATCAATAGATTACATGCCGTGACTATAACACGAAAGGCCGTGAGACTGGGTTTTATTATAGGCAGGGGGCACTCTTTTTGAAAAAGTAAGAAATGCTATTATGAAAAATATATGTATATATAATATATGTAAAAGCAAAATGAAGTCTAGTAAACCCTGTTTGTCAGGAGTAGATCAAATGTGTTGCAGGTGATGGAGACAGGTGAAAGCCACACATGAGTGGAGTCACGTACTCCAGAGAGGAAATGAAAACTGGTTGTGTTTTTAATGGAATACCATCTGTTTCATTTTTCTCCTCAGGGTAAACACTAGAAACAATAATAGGATGTGGCTTTTGTTGTCATGTTAGCTCTCTCCCTGTGCTTTATTTTCCTCCTTTGGTCACAGGTTGATTCAGTTTTCTCCTGCAGGGCCTGCTACGTCTGGCTCGGTGGAGTCCAGACACGGTAATAATCGATCAGCAGCAGAGCGGAAGGGACCTCCGCCCAGGACGCTCACTCACTCAGACATAGAACACATGCGCGCACTCATGCTTACATATACACTCTGCCAAAAAATATCCTTTTTAACAAGTCACTCTAAAATCTTGTCTAAAAAGGACTAAGGAAATACTGTCAGAGGGGATGAGATTATATTGTCCGGGTTTCACTTCAGATTCAGATGAATCCATGTTGAGAAGAAGCACAACAGGGTTGGCTATTATTATAGCTAAAATAAGTTTGATTTAAAAAAACTATTTGAGACTCTGAAATCACTTGTTAAGATCACAACGTATATTTTCCTCAGCAATACACTGGTTAATACAAAGAGACACTCTCCCTTCTCTTACCCTCTTGCTTATTTTCTGTGCTTCCATCCCTCAGATTCCCATCTGTTGTTTTTCTTCTCCTTTGCCCAGAGGGTCTCGGCTCATCCTCCCTCCCTCCAGCTCCAGTGCCCCTACAGTACCTTTATCCTGTGTTTCTTTGGCTTCAGTGCTTTTTTTCCTTCAATATGTACCCCAATATCTGCTTTGTATCCTTGCTACCCTTTCTGCCTGCTCCTCTTGCCAGGGAAACCATCTGTGTCCAGGCAAAGGGGTCAATCTACTTTAACAAATACCTACTTTAACCCGAATCTCATAGATTTAGGATATACTGCATTTGGTTCGGCATTCTTTTACAAAGGTATTTCTTCTTACATGTTACAGGATGTTCAGATTTCATTATCAATTCATCTTGAACAAATGATTTATCGTCATGTAAATAAAATATAACAAAATTGCTAGTCAGAATTTCCTAAAGTCCAACTTAATGTCTACAGATGGCCTAATTTGTCAATCTGTCAATTTGTAACATAGTGACAATAATATTTCTTACTAAAATGACATCATCATGACTAATGAAAAAAGAAACTGATATGTGTAATGTTCAGAGCTATTTTATGGGGTGTTCTTTATTTCTTATCAGTTGTCCCTAAAAAAGATGACGACTTTTATAACAACATCAAAATCACTAACCTCTCCCATTGCACTAATTTCATGATATCATTTCAGATGACCTCTGAGTGGGAACATAATCAAGGTCTAGTGTGTAGGATTTAGGGGAAAACATTAGCAGAAATGGAAAATAATATTGTATTGTACCGCTATGTTTCTAGTAACCAGGAGCTACATAACAGTACCTAACGTACCTTTACCTAAAGTATTTCACAAGAAATCTGGGGATTTCTTACTCTGTTATGTTTGTATGTATATTGTCTTGCTCTGTAAAGCACTTTGGGCTGCATCTTGGATGAAAGGTGTTATATAAATAACGTTTATTATAAGTTTATTACTTCTTTAGAAAGAGCCTTTGGGTTTTTATGTTTTCTCTGTTGATTCTCTGATGCGCTTTGAAAGGGAGTGATGAACGGAGAAGTTTTCAGTTGGTTGCAATGTGCAACTTCACCAATAGATGCCACTAAAATCTTGGCACTGCTCCTTTAGAGAAAGACCTGAAAGGTGATGATAGCCCATTGCGTCACGCTCACCTTCCTCAGCAGGGAGACCAGGTCCTTGGGCCAGGCTGCGCTGTACTGGACACTGACTGTACTGAAGAGCTGCATCAGGGACTCCACCGAGTTACTGGCATGGATATCATAGGGCCTCTGGTAAGGAAATATGAACACAAAAATAATCAACAATAGACATGATGTAGGGAAAGAGGAGAGGGTAAATAGAGGCAATTCAGCTCTAGAACCTATAAAACTCAGATTGTCCAAGATGTCTTACCCATCCACGAAGCACTTCGAAGATTGTCACCCCTAGTGACCACCAGTCTACATCAAAGGCATAGCCTGTACCCCCACTAACAAAAGACTGGAAGATCTCTGGGGCTGAAAGCACAAACAGAGAACACTTCAGGAGCAGAGAAGCTTTTTTTAAATACTGCACACACATGTAGTCAGAGAGCATCTTGTGTTACTTTGCAAAATGTCAAAAGAACATTTTTCCTCAGCTGTGCAGTCGACTCACAAGACAAGGGACATTTTTGCCTGAGTTTTTCACAAATAAACACAAGAGCTGTAATTTTTATCACTTAATTCACACAAGGGCCTCTTTAGTGATGATGAGCGAGTAGAAATATGCTGAGAAATCAGCCGTCTAGCACCTTCGAGCAGCAGTGATGAACTAAACTAAAACTCTCATAAATACAGACTTCAGTTTCCTGAATCACAGTACCCACATTTAGAGACCATTCTTTCTTATCAGCCTATCCATTCAAAATGTAACATTAGTCAAAAATACAATAACCTCATAACCATTCTTGTTCAGTATGGATGTGTATGTGCACGAAGCGATCAGGCATGATAACATGGTTTTAAAGATGGTTATGTTACCCATGTAGGGCTTGGTTCCAGCTAAGGCAGTGGCTCTCTCTCCGTCCTTTATTATCGTCGCTATGTTGAAGTCCGTTAGGTGAGCGTGACCTGAGAGAAAGAAACACAAGTCCTTCACAACTAAATCCATCAAAGCTTTGGTATTTTTTTAGAAATGTCTACAAATAGAAAATAGTAATGTGTCAAAAGAAAATGAAATGAAGGACAAGAAAAATGTGACATTCCAGTGGTTTTGTGTGTAGAGCACGTCCCTGAACTCTGACCCTGTTCCTTTTGGGACATATTATCCTGCATGGTCATTTCTGTGTCCTACTTGTCCAGATGGACTACATCTCACTTCTCTCTGTAAACTGTGCACTTGAAAGGTTTTTCGGCTGTCGTTTCCAATTTTCTCCTCACAGAAAAACATGACTCTATACTTACAGCTAAAAAATAATCATGGATATCTATATATCTAACCTTACTAAATCTTATTGAGATGAAGATCTCTTTTACAAGAAAACCTGATGACAGCAGAAGAAATGAAAATAGTGATAAGGCCCACAGCCATTTACACACAAGCACATCCTAACAGCAGTGTTAGAACAGATACAGCCATCTCTAAAGAGTTCTACAAGTAAAAGTTTAAATTCAACAACTGGTAAGAGATAATGAAGTCCTTTGTGATTTGAAAAAGTGGAAGGGATTTTTCCCCTGTATTACGTGATGAAGAATCAGGAGTAAACTTGTTTAAGAGATGTAATAAACTAATATGAAACAAATGATAAAGATGATGAACTAGGAATAAAACGGTGGTAAACTGCATCAAGTTGTTTTAAGGTATAAAATGTGTATGAATAGAAGATGAACAAAATGATTTTGGTTTCATCTGCAATACAATTGTATACTGTCTGAAGATGTTTAGAAGATGGTATAAGGCAGGGCTATTCAATTAGTTTGGAATGGGGGCCGGTTGATGAAAATGATCCAAAGCAAGGGGCCGGGAAAAAGATGGCTTGAAATATGAGCAATCGTATGAAGAGCTTCAGATACAGTAAATACTACAACAGCATAGTGGAGTGCATATATTGTGTTTCATTCAATCAAACAACATAGCCCCAAGGCCTTTATAGATCTAAATGGCAAGTTCAGAACTCAGTATGACTACATGTGAAGCTAATTTAACCATCAACATCATTTCATTTGATTTAGGTGAAATGATCTAATCATTCACGCAGAGATGCAATAAATGACAGGAGTTACTACAGTAGCTAGTAGGTGGGTTCGAAACCCGAGCCCGCCGAAGTTTTCAGGCAATGTCTTCCCCTCTATCTCTTAATTTAATTTTTAATAACCTCTCTGAAAGGCACTCTGGCCCCAAAAAAAATCTTTAAAAAAAAAATTAGATTACTTTTTAACAATATACTCAAAGGGCCAGTAAATATCACCCCGGGGCCGGATTTGGCCCGCGGGCGCCAATTGAATAGCCCTGGTATAAGGTAAATAAATATGGATACAATAAGTATGTGTTAAGAAATAATGTTGTTCATTAAGATTGCAAATGATAATGGACCGACCACAGAACCTTCTGGAACTCCTTTAATTATTAAAAGAGAGGTTGATGCGAGACAATTCACACTGTAAAGATTGGCTGTTTTCTATTAAAGGTCTCCTATTATACTCTTTTTCATCCAAATATTATAGGTCTCGTATACATACAAAACATGTCTCTGAAGTGTTTGGCTCCAAACACCAAACAGATCATTGCAGCATCCCATAATCCCCTCTGTTTCAGCCCTGTTTCAAAAGTGCTGATTCTCTGTCTGTTACTTTAGATGAAAATAAGGTGCCACTCCCCACGCCCCTCTGAGAGAGATTTGGTTAAAAATAACTCAATGGTGCTCTAGGAGGATATTCAGGTGATAAGGTGGGGGGGGGTTTACCTTGGTTGGTGATTGGCTAATGGTTACACAGGACCAAAAAATCGTTATGACATCATAAAGTGGCCAAAATCGGATCAGCTCATTTTCAGACAGATTTTTATAGAAATGGATCAGGACAAAAAGTGAGCGAATCTTTTCTCCTGAAACTTTCAGAATCTCTTTACACATGTGTCCCACATGTTTATGTAGAAAATACATGAAAAAGTTGATTTTGCGTAATAGGTGACCTTTAAGTAATTATATAATGCGTTCTGATAAATATATTTGAATGTTTGTTTTCCCTCCCTTAACAAGGAGCCTAAAATAAATGCTGAGTGTTATTTCGCCCATGTCTGCTGCACACCGACAACGTCATATAAACAGAGACAGACACATGGAAACACACATAAGCACTGAGAGACACAAACAAGCAAACAGTTAACATCCTTACCTTGCTCATCCAACAGGATATTGTCTGGCTTGACATCTCTAAAGGAGACAATAACAGACACATCAAAAACATAACGAAGTAACGAAAACATTCTTATGTTATGTCATAGTCATCAAAAACATTAATCAGGTTTCCATCCAAATGAAGCTCTTATTCTAATTAAATTAATATGCACTTCTGTAGTGCTTATACACCATTTCAGTTGTCAGAAGACTGACAAAACAAACTTAATAACTTGAAGAAATGTAAAGCCCAAAGTGTGCGTATAATTCTAATGTAAACACATACTATAACAGTGCTTTTAGTCATTTAGTTTGCTGTCATCTAGGAAAGACTGAGATTAGATGTGTACAGTATGTGTGGATGTGAAAGTCTGTAGGAGGTGTTTGAAGGCTGATGAATGCGTGAATTCTGTACATGTTGGTGCAACATGTTGTGAATGTGTGTGTGTGTGTGTGTGTGTGTGTGTGTTTAAGTGTGTGAGAGGGAGATCACTTTAATTTCCTGCATTTCAAATAGTGCGCAGGAGAACGGAACCCTCTGCCCCGGGAGGATCCTGCAGGAGAGTCAGCACATGCCTTTTACACTGGGCACCTCTATGCAACCGAGGGACACATCCAGGCACACACACACCCTAACACATACACACACACACATATCACATCATTTCCCAATCCCTACAAGCCCTCCGCGGGCAATTAACGGAGCATGCAGGGCTTATTTAATTATGCTGCACGTCATGCTTGTGTGGAGAATACACGGTCCGCAGAGAGCATGTACACTTCCCATAGGACGCTCTGTGCCAATGCAACGCTAAACTGATGCTAAAATCATCTGCCAGAATTGTTGGAGGGCTGTGGTGGAGAGGGGGGGGGGGGGGGGGGTGTGTGTGTCTGATCCAGCAGTATAAGGCTGGAGGGAAATACTTACATGTTCACAGGAGGGATTCTGATACGAGTGCCAGATTCAGCAGCATGCATTTTGTTTGATGTTCAAAAATTCACTTAACGTTTTATTCATTTCGCAGCGAGCACAGAAACACCAATCCAACATGAAACGACATGGAAGTGATTTGCTATGCTGTACACAGGAACAAACTGTTTAAACGTGTTGAGTGTATGATGAAGACAGAATGGAAACAGAAGAGCGAAGAGGAGAGAAAAAAGGAAAAAGGGACTCTACAGTTTTACTTCTCGTTTTCTCATAGGACCAAATGTACCTCCTTGGACATGGTGGCAGCCGACTGTTGCTAGGAGACCAGAGACCCTTCTTCATTCAGTTGGTGCAACAAAATAATTGTATAGTATTCTCCTGTCTAAAACTTACGGGGTGGAACAAAATTGTAGAGCTGGGGCCGGCTATGGATACGGAGGGATTGGATTATGGCTCTGAGATCAGACATAATTGTGTCAAAGGCTAACAGCTGATGTCAAGGAGAGGGTGAAACTAATCTTGGAATAAAAAGCACAGATAAACAGCGTCTGTTGCCTTTAACTATAAGCAGAACTGATGTCTGACGTCTTTGCCAACTAGACTAGGAAAAAAAAAAGACAATGACTTCCTCTGGTGTTGTGAAATGTGGGAAAGTGTCAGATTCTTTGAAATGAGCTCACATTCGCTTGGATGTTACACAAGCACTGCATAATGCATGAGGATGTTGATATGATATGTGAAGCTGTATAGTATTATAGTATAGTAAGGCATGCAGGTACACACATCACACATTTGCAAATCAAAATACATAAACATTTGTATTTTTATACAGTGTTTATGAAGCCTGGTGGAATTCTGCTTTTAATTCAGTTTCTATTTTCCATCCAGATCTGTGTTGTTTATTCAGCCAAACAGGCGCTTCACTGGACATTAGGTCACATGGTAGACTGACATTTATCTGTTAACCTATTTACACAAGTACATTTTGCCAATTTGTTATTTCATTAGCGAGATGTGGGGTTGGGGGTATTTCTCTACCTTTGGATGTTGCCTGGCTAGCCTTTACCAACGGGTTCTTCAAGTTATGCTAATTGTGTTCTGGCTCCAGCTTTATTTAATTGGGTTGAATTGATTTGGCTTCATTGGATAGTCCATGAGAGAGACAGGGAAGGAAGATAGAGACAGGACCGTATACAGCAACGGACTGGGGCTCACATTCAGCATCATTAATAAAAAAAAACAAGTGTATTTTCCCAAATAGACTATTCTTTACCATTAGGCTATGCTTCATGAATTTCAATTTGTTATTTTCTCAATTTATTTTAATTCTCTAAAACACTTGATGAACACATTTGCAGGCTGAGTGCTTCATCATTAATCTCTGTATTGTTACTGTGCTAAAAGAGTATTTAAATAAGAAACAGAAGGAATGACGCACGCGTGAGCATACACACACACACACACACACACACACACACACACACACACACACACACACACACACACACACACACACACACCACACACACACACACACACACACACACACACACACACACACACACACACACACACACACACACACACACACACACACACACACACACACACACACACACACACACACACATGTAATCAGGATGAGGTTTTGAACAAGGTTCAAACTGTTGTCTCAGCCATCTGTGGCAGTAAATCTGCAGTCTGCAGGGATCCGTCTCCTTCACTTACTGGACTGCACACACACACAGACTGCAACGCTCAGCATATCTGGACAAAAGGCTGCGGAGAGTAAGTCCCCCCCTTCTTTAGGATGATGGATGATATCAATTACCAGAACAAACATTAGGGCTATCTTTGTAAATGGAAAGTAACACTAAATAAAAACAGGGAGACCCAAATGCCTGAATAAGGGTCTCCATGCAGCCCACACCAAGACTCACTGAAAGAAGCCTCCAGATGTTTGATGCATAATGCTTATACTTTTTCTTCTTTTATTTTCCATTATGTTGCACTCTTAAAAACACATTTTGGATATTTAGACACGGGAAAACAAACACATTCTTATTTATATTCTTCTCCATATCAACATTTATTTATTTATTACTACTACAATTAACAGCATTTTATTTCACTGTACAGTATTTAATTTGACTTTCTATATATGATTCTATTTAAATGTATATAGAATCCTACTTGGTAACAACATCCTCTACATTTACCCCATTGAATTGTCTTTTTACATGTAAATAGTATATATGTGCATTACCTGCACACTGGTCTTGCAACATCATCTTGCACTATTTTATTCTACTCCGTGTCTTCTTGGACCATTTCCTATTGTTTATTTTATTAGTTTTATTGTTTTTCTTACGTCTTATATTATGACAATAAAGCCTTTGAATCTCTTGAATCTCAGGGATACAACGGTAGGTTAAAAATAGGGAAAACTAAAGAACATGTAGAGGGGAGCTGTAGGGCATCATGCACTTCTCTGGAAGAATAATGTTCTGTCATCCGAGAGGACGTGTTCTTAACTGGTGAGGTCAAAGTGGAAGCAGCTACAGGATATGATAAAGGTGGGTGCAAATATATAAATATATGTCTACTGAGACACTTTAGTCATGTTTAGAGCCTACAGAACTGCATAGTATACACTGCTTGGTATAACGACACTGTGACTTTGTGTTTCTGATACACTAAGTGCTTACACAAAGGAAAATGCAGCGCTGCCTCTGGGATTGAGATCATGCACTAGCACACATCAGGATGTAAAGCATGTGTTTTGTGTTCCAGCCTGAAGAGTAAATCATTACATTCATAAATCACCAATAATGATGCTTCAAGCTGGAGGACAGAGCACAAAGAGAAAAAGCTCTTAGACACAACCTTGAGGTATTCTTTAGGGTCCTTCAATGCAGAAAATAGGCTAATGCTCTGAAGTGAAACTGGTGAAAAGTATGTTAGATGAAACAAAATATAATGATGTAATGGCCTGACACTGGTGCTTAGGGTGCATGTGGAAAGAGCTGGAAGTATTGTGGATGAAAAACACTTTAATGGGTGTATTTGTGAAGTCGATGTGTCTGGCTCTCTCTCAGTTGTTTTTTTGAAGACTGAATCAAACCCAGAAAAAAAACATCTAGTCCAACATTGGACATTTATATAATGTTTTAGGCATTTTTATTTGGTAAAACTTAAAAATAAATCATGCTAACATCACTTGTTGTCTATTATATAGATATTCCTGGTTAATTTAAAGCTGTAACAACTCTTTCTGTATGTCTTTAAAGAGGCCCTATTCTTCTCATTTTCAGGTTCATATTAGTACTCATTAGGCGCTTTCACACCAAAAAGAGAACTTAGTTCATGAGAACGTTTCCCCCCTTTTCAGTCCCTGCTACAGAGCAGGGACTGAAAAGGGGTGAAAAAAGTTCCAATTTCTATTGGCTGGGCGAATTGCAAACCACGCCCCGTAAAACTCTGAAAAGTTTTGTGAAGCCGCCATTGTATTTGCTGGCATTAGCATTATTAGCATTAGCATTAGCCCCGCGCACCAACGGAGAGAGAATAACTTATGGCAACACAAAAGAAAACATAGGAGCGGTGGAGATGAGGAGGTGTCGGTGTTCTGGCGATTTACTCGGAAGGCTTCAGTAGAAGCTGCTGGGAGTCCCAGCAGCTTCTACTGAAGCCAGTCCCCAACTCCGGGGACTTCCGGCCGGGGACTTCGGGTGGCAGTATACACCGTGAAGTTGTTTGCGGCCTGCCAGTAAACCCAAAGCAGAAGAGGAAGAAGTGACTTCAGCGGCTTCATTTGCGTAATCTTCCCTCAGGGACTTATTCAGGTGTGAACGCGATCTGCTCTTTAGTTCCATGGGGGAACTAAGTGCTGGGAACTAAGTGCTGGGAACTAAGTGCTGGGAACTAAGTACGGCAAAGTACTTGGTGTGAAAGTGGCTATTGCCTCTACTGGGACATGTCTCCATGCTTTAATGTTCAAAAAGCTCTTTCTTTTTCTCATACTGCCTGTGCTGCAGCACCTCTTTTCACCCTCTGTCTGAAACCAGAGCCCAGTCTGCTCTGATTGGTTAGCTGCACTACATGTACCCATACCCATATAACACACTACAGGAGAGGGAAACCCCAAAAAGCTGAATATGGCACCTTTAAAAAATACCCACCCTTTGACAGCTACCTATTTCCTCCTGAAGGTCAGGTTTTTGTTTGTGTAGATGCTATAATGTCTGTGTGGTCACAGCTGTTGCAAATGTGCGATTTAAGCTACAAATGAAGGCTGTATTAATTGAAGATCATTACCTCACTCTACAGTTTCCCTCAGCTCTGAGTAGTGCCTTAGGACATTTCTGGTTGTTTTTTAGATTTGTGCCAGAAACAGTTTTGGTTGAGTTTCACAGCTCTCATCAGGGCTTTTTTTTAAACGCAGTAAATATATTGTGCTGTTCTTGGATAGTTTTTATTTGTACTCTTTCACTCTTCTTGAAGCAAACACCAGAAGACCACTTAGAGTCATTTATAATAATTGGATCTTAGTGCAGCAATATTCCTGGGAGTTTTTAAAAGTACATTTTTTATTTGCCTTCTAACTTTTGATTATTTTGAGTGGTATCACTGTTCACTGTTCTGTGATCTAACTCTTTCTGTTTTGTTTTAATAAGTTCTTTGTTTTTGTTTGTATGTATCTTATCTTACTCTGTAAAGCACTCTGGGCTGTATCTTGCAAGAAAGGTGCTATATAAATAACGGTATCATTATAATCAAATGATAATGCAGTATCACAGTGATTATAATGCATTATCAGACCAGACGTGTTCCTTGTTAACTTCACATAACTAAAAGAGATGAATTGTACCTGTGGATGATGTGCTGGTTCTGCAAGTAGTCCAGAGCCAGCGTCATCTCACAGAGGTAGAGCTTCACAGCATCCTCACTGAACTGGACGTTCTGCTGCAGGTGGTAGCGCAGATCTCCTCCCAGCAGGAGGTCAACCACCATGAACATGTCCTCCTCATCCTGAAACGAGTACCTGGGAGAAGAGGGGAGGACAGTGCTCACTCTATGTCCAATGTCTTAGAATACACATGCAATACAAGCAAAGGCCGAGCACAAACAGTATAGGGTGTGTGTGCTCTCGCAAGCAGTGCACAAAGTAGATAACATGAGCAAAGGTTACACATCTGCAGACACACATGCATGTTGAATGAAACCTACACATCTGTATGAGCAACCACCGGGAAACATGCTATATTCATACATCCATCTCTGTCTTGCACCAAAATAAATACCTTTGAATAAGCAACCTTTATGCATAATGCATATTTATATACGTCAATGCATGCTTCAGTTGGTTTCTGTGTGAATGTGTGCTTTCTGGCAGGCTCTGAGCACGCTGGACAGCAACAGAACACACATCATTATCCTAATAACATGCCACTACTGTGGAGGAAATGCAAAAAGAGAGGGATTGGTTGTCGAATTAAAGCTTGAAACCACCCATCTTTGCATGATGTGACTTAATTGAAGGCTGCTCGTGGTCTGCTAGACAATTTTTGTCAGTCAGGCTTACTAATCATGCACATCAAATTAAAACACAGCCTCTCAGTGATCTGGCTGGGGATTTGTAGCACTCCACTCCACCATTTCTGCCCCAGACTTTAAACAAAACATTAAGCCACATGGGTGAACAAACTGTTTTGTGCATCGAAATCAGATTTATCCTCTAAGAAAAAGCAGAATAATATCTTAATAGGCCCCCCTTGTCAATTTGCAGAGGAGGAGGAAAAACAAATGGAGCCTCTGTGGTTTCGTCTATCAAACTCTGTTTAATGGGGTCTGCTATCGAGCCAATTCTTTATTTTCCCATTAAAAGCTCTGATACTTTGCCGATATGAGTTCTTTTTATAGCTGCAGGTTCCCTCTGTTTCCTCAGGCTTGGCCTGTACATTCTCATTGGTCCTATTCAGGTGTAATTTCCTACCTCTCTATAAGTGAGAAATGGGGCCCGTGTTTGCTGCAGAGCGAAATCAATCAATCTCTTCCACAGACTGGTGGAAAAACCCATTTGCAGTACTGTTGGGACTTTTTCTCCTCCAAAAACAAAGCGTAGATTAATTGATGAAAGGCCTTCGACTTTCCTGTGATGGAATAGATAATGGGCGGAAAGTACACTCTATTGACTCAGTGTACACAAATATAACACACAAAGCTTTGTATTACCATCAAGTGTGTTTATTCTACCTCACACTTTTCCTTTTCCTCAGACAACCTGACACCACTGTAGCATGTAGCATGCACTCAATAGAAAATGACAGCAGAGACACCTACATCAGACACAGTGCAGCGACCCGCCCTGACCCCTCAGAGATCAGCCTCAGCATTAAAACACGGCCTCAGCAGATGGCCGGCCGCAGGATGTTGTTGCACTTGGCAGGGGTTCTTCACTGTCACCTTTTTATCACCTAATTGTCACGGTCTGATTCCCTGCATCCAGTTGACAGATCATTGTTGTGTGAGGCGGCAGGCGCTATCTCGGTGTTCTGCAAAACAGTCTTTCCAATCCCCTGCGCAAATATCTACACTCCTAAGAGAAAGCAGCAGCAGCTCTGGCTGGCTGTCATTTGCTTCCACACTTTTCGCTGAGGTGACAAGGAGATGTCAGATATTGGCCGACAACTGGAGCATAAAAACATCTCTTGGGCTGACAAGACTTGTCACCTTAAAGACCTTCACAAAGGATGCGAGAGGAAGGAAACACAAACGATTTGATCTCTTTTTTAGAGAACTCTTTGATCCAAATTCTCCCCAATGTAAAGACAAACAAAACCTCAGTAGCTGTTTTTCTACAGGCCCAACCTCAAAGTGAGCAAAGAGGAAATGATGTATCATGTGAATGCAGCTTTAGTTGAACGACACAGACATATATTCAGACATCTATCCACCCCTAATTTCTGGCCCTTATTTAGGTCTTGGTCAAAAGGGTTCCACAATATAGGGGTCAGTATGCTTCACACAACTATTCAAAAGAAAAAAATCGGACAAGCACGTCCACTTTGAAAAAAAAGGAAATGGCCACATGTGTGATAGTATGGAATTTCACTCAATTGAACACCATGATTGCCTTTAAGAGAGATAGTGTTTGCCCTTAACCCCCTATGAGTCATTACGTCTCATCTCTCGTTGACCTGTCAATCTTTTGTCTTTTGACGAACTCTAACCCTACTGTTCCAGGAAGTTTCCAACATGTTCCGACCTTAAGCAAAGTACTCAAGGCTTCCCACTTCCTCCAGCAGGTTCCTAGGGGATCCCAAGGTGTTAGGCCAGATAAGATGTACATTCTGTACGCTCAGGGTCTACCCTTGGGTCTCCTTGCAGATGGATTTGCCCGGAATACCTTGACAAGAATTAGTCCAGGAAAAACTCTTATCAGATGCCACTGGCTTCTTTTAATACGAAGGAGAAACTGTGTATCTTTTCTCAGATAGCAAGGCTCCACGTCTTGCCCAACGGGGAAAGGAAAACCCATTTCAGACGCTGGTAATCAAGGACATGCTTACTTCAAGGGGATGGTAACATTTGTGATGACATAGGTGAAGGGCGAATGGGATTTCCAGCAACCATCTGAGTCTTCTGCAATGCTTCTTTGATGCAGCATGGAGCTGTGAATCTCTTGAGCAGGAGGAGATCTTGAAAAAGCCAAACACCATTCTATTTGCTTGCTTTCTAGTTTCGCTCTACGATGAAAGAAGAAGACTTGAGGAAGAAGTCCAATATTTACTCTCTTTTCAGTTTCATGTGTATTTCCACCAGCTCCTTGGGGCAATATCCGGCTTTATAGTTGCTAAATGTTCAGCAGCCAGATGCTAACTTTCAAGTTTCAAGTTTCAGTGCAGGAAAGGTAGCATATGGTGGATTTCTATATATCCCTACCTCTCTTCAAATCTGCACAGCCCTCCACTGTAAAATATAAAATACAACAGTCTGTCATATATTGTCATATATTCATTGTACTACGTTTAGTTTTTTTGTTTATTTTGTATATTTATATTTGGTGTAAATACTTGTCTTTTTTTTTTTTTTTTTTACAAATATTTTCTTTTTATAGTCATTATATTTTTGACCTTCTCTTAAGTATTTCCTTATATTGTGCCCCACCATACACCAAAGCAATTTGCCTGTATGTGTAAACGTACCTGGCAATAAACTAGACACTGATTGTGATTATCAGAGCTTTTAAGATGATAAGAGAAATACAACAGGACCACAGAGTAGGACACTGCACTTTGTGAACATAAAGTGTTCCCCCTAAAGTCATTTGAAATGCCCTATTCTGCTCCTCATACTGAACAATTAGCACAGTTTATTACAATAGGCACAGAGACGTGTGGGTCAAACCCTTGATTATGAATGAATGCCTGGCAGTAATCTGAGGCCTGGGGGGGGGGGTGGGGGGGGGGGGGGGGTGGGGTTGGGGGTGTGGGGGGGGGGGGGGCCATGTGGCTGAGGCCAGGACAGGACAGGCTGCGACAGAGACGAGACTACAGTAAGGGAAGAAGGTTAGCCGGCTGGAAGGAGTACAAGGTACAGGCTGAAATAATCAGGCCACAATGACAAATGAGCACAGGGAGGTAGGGAGGGGAGGCGGAACAGGGAAAGGGTTTTGAGGAAAAGGCAACAGAGAAACAAGAGCTTGTGATTCTGTTGGCTGGAGCCGCTCTGAAAAGTTTTCAATGGCCTAGATAAAGTTGATGATAGAGATGGGCCGGCAGGAAGTGGCTGCGTGACTCAGTCACAACACGCTCGCATGCACCTTTGGGATCCGGCAACAATAGTGTGAGTGAACGCTGCCCCTCCCCTCGGCGCCCTTCAACAAATGCCTGAAGACACGACACCCCCACTGGCCTGCTTTCACAAGGTGCACTTTCAGAGCCATGTCCTACAAAAAGTTCTGCTTTAAAAGAAGCCATTTCAAGGCTGCAAATCCAGGGCAAAACAATCTGTTGATGCACAATGATATATGAGAGGCCGAGGTGGAGGAAGTACTCAGATCTTTTACTTAAGTAGAAGTACCAGAGTGTAGGAATACTCTGTTACAAGTAAAAAGTCCTGCATTCCTGGTTACTCAAGTAAAAGTAGAAAAGTATTAGCATCAACATATACTTAAAGTGCCAAAAGTAAAAGTAGTCATTGTGCAGATTGGTCCATTTCAGAATAATATATATGATATGTTTTATAATGATTGATCATGAAAGTGTTCTCAAAGCTGGTAAAGGTGCAGCTAGTTTGAATGACTTTGTATACTGCAGGGTAGCTTGTGAATTTACTCCAGGTGGAACTAAAGTCTGATTTAACACTTGATTATATTTCACATCATTCATCCACATCTGTAAAGTAACTAAAGGTATTAAATACATGTAGTGGAGTCAAAGATTTACCTCTGAATTGTAGTGGAGTAGAAGTACAAAGTGGCATAAAATGGAAATACTCAGTACCTCAGAATTGTACTAAAGAACAGTACTTGAGTAAATGTACTTAGTTACTTAACACCACTGATTAGAGGAGAACACTCCTGTGCTTTTGGAAACGATATTTGGCCTTCTATGAGGGTGATGTGAGGCCATGCCCCTAAACAGGGCTTGCTATAAATGCTGACTGTAGGTTGAAGAGGCTCATTTGTTCCACACTCTCCTAAGGCTTTGCTCCACGCAGGCCTGAAATCAATATTCCTAATGGAGGCTGAGCAGGACACAGAACATCCATCCTCACCACTCCTCTAGCTCACTCTCTGACTTTGACGGAGTGATGGACAGTAAGAGCAAAGCCATACACCAATCCTTCAGATGGACTTGAAACCTTTCAAATCCTTTAATGGCGCGTTTCCACTACACGGCCTCGCTCGGCCCCGCTCGGTATGGCTGGGCCTCGTTAGGACTGGCTCACTTTATGGCGCATTTCCATTACAGTTTAGGAACTGGGGTAGTATCTATAGTAACGCAGTGTAGGCGGAGCCGTGACGTGATCTTCAGAGAACCCCAGAAAAACAACACAGCCGTTAGCTGTTAGCTGTTAGCACTCAGAGCTCACAGCTCCTCATATATGTTCAGAAACTAGACAAAAGTTAAACAACAAGCCACACAAGCCACAGACTGTCTGTGTCATGGTGAATACAGTCGCTGGTTTATTTATGTCTGCATAGGCCGTTGTTGTGAGTGTGGACGGTCGGAGCATATACTGCATTAGCTTAGCCAATCTCCATTTAGAAAACAAGCATTTTAAAAGGTTTTTCACCTGCCGTCTGTCTGCAGACTTGACAAAGCATTAATTCATGGTTTTTACTAACCGGTATCAGTATGTTGTTACTTCGGCATCATTTTGAAACGTGTATTACAATTAAATCACGGTCAAATATGTCCATCTTGTTGTAGTTGTAGCCCCCTTGCCAGCGATGCTCTCTCTAGTTTAGCATACTCAGCCCGACTCAGCCTCGTTGTCTCTGGCCCTAGACCCGCGATTTTATGAGGCCAGAAAAACTGTGAATTAGGACCCGCCGGCCGGTACTAGGCCAAGTGGAAACGCAATCAAAGACGGGCCGCTGACGTCACAGCCCTCTTAAACCGTGCTCCGCGCTGTAGTGGAAACGCGCCATAAGATGCTCCCGTGGGGCCGTGTTCAGTCCCCCCCCTCTCTGATGACAGCCCCCCAGCCCCCCAGCCCTCCGACCCTGACTCTGTTCCTCTGTGGGAGCGTCCCGTCCACCATGAGTCACTAAAGGAGAGCGTGAATGCTTGTTTGACTGATCTGTTGTGAAGTAGCGCTTAAGGCGAGCCTTGCCTTTATAATGATGTACTATACTCCGTAAACAAGGGGATCAAATGTGTTGCTACGCCTGATGCTGGTTAGTCTGGCTCTCTACGTGGGGAGAGATGACCCCTGCACTCTGAGGCTTCAAACAAAAGCAAGGGAAAGAAGAAGTCAGCATCTTCCAAGGATTTGTGTGGATTTGGTGTGAGCGGTAGATGATAGTTCATTTGTCCCCCTCCGAGGTAATCCATTCAGTGTACCCTCCACTCCTACACATCATATCTCTGCAGCGAGGGAATGGTCGCAGCAATTATTGTGGGCTGCAAACTTGACATCCGCCCAGCTTTAGGCAGCCTTTACGCAGCTGATGCGATTCGGTGTAAGCTTTCACAAGGTTGCTTCCTAATGAATTTTCTCTGAAGCTATGGACGGAGCTGTTCAAAAGCACAGCGGAATTCAGGATGTTTCCAGGCATAAACTGTGTCTTTGTGTGGAGGTAAGAGCTGGAGGAAAACCTCACAAATCCTCTTAGTCGACCAAACAGATCAATGCCAAATGCTTTTTTATCTTCCCTCCTCTGTACTTTATGCCCCCCCCCCCCCGCACCTCTTTGTGATTGCAGGAATGATCACTTCCTCTGACAGCTGTTTGGTGTGTTTTCCCGCATTCTCTCTGAGTGGCTGAGTGTCTCTTTGGCTCCCTCCTGGCACCGTATCAATAAAAAACACTCCCATGAAGCTGTATCAAAGCTGGCGTTTCTCGTGACTTGCATCTTTTATTGTACGCTTTTGAGAACAGGCAGTTCCCAAAAACCCCAGCTGGTCTATCGCACGTCCATTAATATTGAACTGAGTGCCCAATTGCAAACTGACAGGAATCTTAACCCTCTGTTTGACAAGCCTATAGTAGATGCTGGCAACTGTCTGATCTCCAGGGAATTAGTTAAACAACATACACACGTGACGGACCAATTAGGTTCCTAGTTGTTATACAGTGAGGGAGACGAGGGGAATATGAAGCAGCTATGTTCCCATCAGCCCCATCTCATTACCTGCTGTATCCAGCAGCAGCTAAATGAAGCAGACACTTTATGTGATGCATACAGGTGCAACACATAACAATGCTGTCACGCACAGATGCTCACAAGGCGTAAACTGGGGCAGAAATATCAAACATACCTTAGACTCCAGATATAAATTGATTTCCTTTTCTGCTCAATGTGTCCTCCTCTCTCTATCTCAAGAAGGAAAAGCACAACTTTCCTTCAATTAATCACTGCTATGCACAGAGAAAGCTCAACACTTTTGTCTCAGAGGATGATCTTTGGATTGGTCCTGTATGAATCCATTTACTTGATGAGGACGGTGGAACCGATCCAGACTCTATTTTCAGTGACTTTCTGACTGTATTTCTGCACAATTAGGGTACCAAAAAGGGGATTCTCTCTCTTGCATGGGTCCAGGTTATTCTCTTACAGACACCAACACAGCTGCTCAAGCTCATGGCCTGTGCGCTGCTTAGACAGATTCATATAGTAGCTGCATTCAGACGCACAGCTGTTTAGACGTCCCATTTCTCTGATGGACAACAACCTGATGGAAGGTACAACAGCCTGTTGAGGATGTGCCTTTGCTCTGCAACTCTTACTAAGATGCTTTATTTGTTGCAGGTTTGACAGCTTCCCTATGCTTTTCAAGAGGGATCAAATATAATCACACAAGCTCGGAATTTACATGATGCAGTTTAAACACAGTTAAATAAATAAAGGTGCCGGCCATCAGCGAACCGAGCCCGGTAGTCGACCGGCTCGGTTCGCTGACGGCCGGACGTACTGTGATTCTCCAGAACACACAGTTGGCCAGTCCGCCCCTGTGTAGCATATTATTTTCGATGACAGATGAGCAGATCGCCACTGGGTTTTCAACTAAAGACACAGCCACGCAAAAGCTGCGGCATGTACAGCTCCTTATGGGTAGGCCTACTGCAATGTGTGAAGTGCGCTACACCCCTGATCGTTTCACCATGGAGGAAAGCAGCAGAAAGTCGACTGGAGTTAAAGAGAGCGGGGCATAGAAGTTATCCTTCTGCGCTGCGTTGCGTGCATGGCTTCCTTCTGCAGGGGGAGACGCGCTCTGCCGGCGGTCTCGTTCAGGATCCAAAAATACAATTTAAATATTTTGCACACTTATTCCTAGTGTGCCACTGGTTACGGTCAGGGGTTGCCGACCCCTGATCTACAGTAACTAAGACATTTTGTCGAGTTACAACTTCCCAACAAGATAGATGGGCCTTTGTGGAGCATCTCCGTGAAGCTGACTTAGAAACAGAGAGGAGGTGTGAAGTGTGAAACTTTTTCTTCCCACGTCGCAGCAATTATACAGTTTAGCCTCTTTGTCAGTAATGGCCATTTGAGATAGTGCTGGATGCAAAGTATGAGGGAGAGAGTGAAGCAACACATGGACAACTAGAACACAGAAGGCTTTGGCAGCCATACACTCCTGCAGGGAATGATAGGCTACTATAAAAAATACACAGGCCTACTACTGTACGCTCATTAAATGCCCACAGCTTGTTCTCGTAGAGTGGCTTCTCTAGTAGCCAAACATATTCCGAACATTAAACCTAAATCATTCACAACTTGATGAGGGAATGAGCTCGACTTTGTCTTGGTTCATCTGCTCAGTCTCTACACAATCCATCATGCGATGCGTGAATATCAACATATTCTGCCAACAATTGCTCAGAGAAGATAGGCACGTGCAATATCATTCTACCAATTACAGAGGAGGTAAAGTGCTTTGTGTAATATGCCGTGAATGCCGTGCCAGGTCCCCAATTACATTTAGAAATGTGTCCCGCACGGAGATGAGCGTTGAATAATGAAAGCAGCCTCCATTCACCCACATATCAGACTCAAGGGAAGAGTAAGGTCATTATAAACCACAGTAATTATCAAATGTGTGCTTCATGGGCTCTGAGTCAAAATGAATATTCCAAAATATCTCTGCTGTGTAAATTGTTTCTTAAATGAATAGCTGTTGGTTTTCTTTGCTTTAGGCATTTAGGAAACCAACAGCACTTTCTTTCAATATTCACGAAAAGAGAACATCTATTTGAGGGATTTAAGAGTGAGCATGCACTTGTCTATTGGGAGGGCAGATATACAAAATACATAGACAGACAAAGCAGGCGACCGACACAGGCAGTGCAGACCACATTGAAAGTGTAAAAACATGGGATAGTCACCAGAGATTTACTAAAAAAATATGTTCAATTTCCTGTAGGATCTCAAGCTCTCTAAAGACGTTTCGGACCTCATCTCTCTCCACGCACTGCTGTTTGTTCATGTACTTCATGGCGTACATCTTCTCCGTGTCCCTCTTTTGCACAATGCATACCTGCAGAAAAAAGGAGAAAAACAGGTATAAGAAAAAAAAACTGAATCAGAAATCCTTTCTTCGTCCGGCAGCGGGGAAATGTACAGTGTGACAGCAAAAGTGGCATAGCAGGTAAAGAAAAGGCATGCAATTATAATGACCAAGCTAACTTATTAAATATAGAGAAGAAAAGCACACATTAGTAGTAGAATAAAAATAAAGGATAATGGATAAAAATAAGTAGCAGCTATTTAAAGAGTGACATAAGTAACATATTAAGGTGTTGAGGCATTAGAACAATTTATAAAACTGTTTGGACATTATAAACATTTTAGTTTTTTTAATATAGCAAGTAATTATTGCACATTACAATTGCAAAAGAAAGTGTCTGTATTATGTATGATTATTTGTGTATTGCAGAATTATATTGGCATTGAAAGTGAATAACTGGTAATGTGTCGAAAACAAGTTTCAGCTCCACAAATGAGACCACACTGCCATGAGAATGAAAAGTATTTTTTTTTTTAAACACAGCATCTTCTAGCTATTGATTAAAGCCAGTGTTGATAGATGCCCTATACCTGTGAATGAAATGCTGACACGACACTCTGCGCACCTCTAATTCACTTCTCAATCACAGAACTTTGTGGCACAAACCACTTCCAAACAAAACCTCATTATTTATTTACCGCTTGTGTTTTTTGTCAGTAAGTGGCCACGAAAAGGTCAGGAGCAGGACGGGACTCCAGAGAGGTCAGAGTCATTACAGTAACATTACCGTGGCAACCAAAGTCATTAAGTGGATCATCTGTCTGCTGCAGATCCTGACTTATGGACAAATAAGGTCCAGTCTGTTCTCTTGTCTTACCTTAAGACAAGATAATGAATCAATGCATAAGGATGAAATGGAAAAGAACAGGTTTGCATTCCTAGAGAACTCTTATGCCAAATGTACATAGACACAAATATTGATGCACCAGCCAGGATTGTTTTATGGTCAGTATGGAAAGTAGGAATGAATTCAGCAACTGTCATATCTTATTGCAAGTGTGCATTGTACTTAAATGGACTGGGATACATCTGAATCTATGCTTTAATGCAGGGGTGGGGAACCTCCGGCCTCCGGGCCGTATACGGACCGCGAGACCATTTGGTACGGCCCTCGAGGTAATTTATAAACACACGCAAAAAAGAAAAAAAGAAATCTAGACCGCAAAAGAATTAAACAAGCGAATGCCTGTTTTTCCTGGCCAAGGTCAGGGTCCTTGAACACAACACGAGCCTAACGTGTCATCACGTGGTATATGTCTCGTCTGACAGGGGTGTAGTTCTGACGGAGAGCACCAGAACGTCGCTCCGCCACTTCATTTAAAATTGCTGTACCCATAAGGAGCCGTACACATGCCGCAGTTGTTGCGTGGCTGTGTCTTTAGTTGAAAGCCCAGTGGCGATCTGTTCATCTGACATACTGATCATACAGTCAAGAACTTTGTTGTTATTAGCATCTGGTTAGCTAGCTATGCTAACGAATATAAGAAGCTTTTTCTACAACCAGTGAGGTAAAGGCACATCTTTATATGATCATTATAGTTATAAAAAACTAAGAGAATAAAGTAAACTGGTATAAAATACTATATGACAGTAAAAAAAGTTGTTATTAATAAACAAGAATACAGTTTAAAAGGGGAGTGATTTGTAAAATATCCATAAAGAAAAAGAAAATCTGTTTACAGTTCTGTTTCATATGGGTGTTGAGAGATGTATCCATAGATCTCCTAATGTTGCTCTCAAAGTGCACCAGATTGATGCTTTTAACTTCAACATTTAAAAAAATATCTTCCGAGGGGGCATGCCCCCGGACCCCCCTAGAGGAGGTTAGGTCCCCCCCCACTTAAATCATGTCCACATGGATAGGAAACTAAATACATTTGCACACATCTTGTGTCCATATCTTTCTGTTTTGGTGGTCATGCCACACCGTGCACGTGCATGCGCGAGTCATGGTAAGATATCTGGATTAAGAGGTTCTCTTTCTTTGCACAGAATGAAAGAAAGGCCAAATGAATGGGCTGTGATTTTACTTTTTTTAAGCAGAGGTCAATCATTTGTACGGCTCTCGGAGGATGTTGAAAAAATTGAAATGGCCCTTGAGAGGAAAAAGGTTCCCCACCCGTGCTTTAATGTATCTTTACAGCAGTCTCCAAAGAGAAGTAAGATCTAATTTGCATGACTGTTGAGCAGGGAAACCACAAACGCTCCACACTGTCAGTAAAATGCCTAAGTGGGCCAGAGGGAGAACACATTTACAGTAGCTTCAAATAAAAATGACTTAGGAGAAGCACATAACTATTGTTAGCTCTTTATTTCTTTACACTTGTCGTTTGTATTGGTGTGAGTTGCACAGTGTTGAATATAAAGATGTCTCCCTTGTCTCCAATAAAATGGATGCTAGTCTATGAGTACATGCACAGTACTTTCTGCGGTGATAGCGTAGAAAGAAAATAGTTCTAATATCAAACTGCTCACAACAAGTTTTATGGATTATCATCAGTACATGGCTCATTATTTCTGGAAAGAAACATTGCTGTTAGGTAAAATACATTTATGTAGGTGCTTTGAACAGCTGAGTACTGTCTACTTTCCATTATAAATCGGAGATATTTTTCGGGGAACTGTGTCTTTTATATGTGTTTAATAACATGTCATAAAGAAACCTTGTTTCCAAAACTGGGGAAAGGGATTAAGAGAAAAACTCTTGTCTACATTCACGCAGATTTGACAACAGTGAGTGTGCATGACAAAGATCTGACTATGAAAGCATGCCCGTGGCAGAGTGCAGCAGCAAACATCATTACTTACTTGTAAACACAGTTTAAATATGCAAGCCTTGGTTAAACGCTCGGGGAGGGGGTCGGGTTTAATCTGATTACCCAGCACCTGCATGTAAAAGCACTCTGATTTGATTTCTCCCACTAACCTGGCTTCTTACGTGCGAGTAAACAAAGGCTAGGTTCACACTGCAAGCCTCAGTGCTCCATTTGTATTCTCCTCAGATGGATTGATCTGTGGGGCTGTTGCATTATTTTTTAAATGGCCAGATTAGGGCTACTTTTCTCTGAAGTGTGAACAAAGCCATCGTAAAACCCTCACTGAAGACAGGAAGTTCAAATCAATATTGACTATCAAAGCCCTTCAGGAAACAGTAAGCAGCTGTTTTGGCCCTAAAAGGTTTCCCCCTGTGTCCTGTGTTTAGCACTTGACCATTCTCTGAAGATAAAAGCTAAACACCCCCCTGATATTATTTGTACAGACAGAAGGCAGGGTTGAGTTGTCAAAGCCCAGGTCTGGTCATTACAGTGTGCGTCAGACAGATGGCTGTTTAACACTCTGGCCCGATGCACTGCAGAAACACCGCCTCAGCTCCTCATTCTCTCATGTGTTTGGTATTTAAAGGTCTCCCATTATGCTATTTTTAGGCATATATTATGGGTCTCAGATATATACAAATATATAAAAAACATGTCTATGACGTGTTTTGCTCAAAATACCAAACAGATCATGCATTTTAGACATCCCTCATACCCCTCTATTTCAGCCCTGTTATGCTGCGTTCACACCGGAGGCGATGCGAATATTCGCTTCGCTCTAATCGCTCCTATCGCATCGCTCTAAACGCTTGAGTTTCACCGCGGCTGTCAGCTGTGTTGACTCGCGTCATTCAAACAAGACGCGCTGGCTCGGGAGCTACAACTACAACAAAATGAACATATTTTACCGTGATTTAATTGTAATACACGTTTCTAAATGATGCCGAAGTAACAACATACTGATACCGGTTAGTAACAACCATGAATTAATGCTTTGACAAGTCTGCAGACAAGACGGCAGGCGAAAGACCTTTTAAAATGCTTGTTTTCTGAATGGAGATCGGGTCGACCAGGCTAAGCTAACGTTGTATATGCTCATTCCACACTCATAACAACGGCCTACAGACATAAATAAACCAGCGACTGTATTCGCCATGACACAGACAGTCTGTGGTTTGTTCATGTTTAACTTTTGTCCAGTTTCTGAACAGATATGAGGAGCTGTGAGCTCTGTGTGCTAACTGCTAACAGCTAACGGCTGATGTTTTCTGGTTGAACGTCAGTGACGGCAGGCTGAGATCCTCACCGCTGATTGGCTACCGCGAGATCGCGTCACGCGAATATGACGCTGAAAATTGAACTTGAGCGTTTGTCGCGGCCCCCTTCAATCGCCTCAATCGCGCCGCAGAATTCGCGTCCACCGCTTCATGCTCGCCATCGGAGCGAATTCGCGACTATCCGCGTCTCTGCATTGACTTTACATGTAATCGCGCCGCCCCCAAACATCGCATCGCATCCGGTGTGAACGCAGCATTAGAGAAGTGCTGATTCTGGGTCCTTAGCTTTAAAAAAAATATATATAAATTTTACCCAGATACAGCTAAATGCTGCCGTGATTAAACGCCATGTCATGTTAAAAACCACATTAAGGAATATTTCTGAAACAGTATGGAGCTCAAATGCTTTTTCTCTTGCAGGTTTACCACAAGGTGGGTGAGTACCTTTTTATATTCTGCTTGTTTACACATACTCTCTCCAGTACAGGTTAGCTCTGAGTGTTAGCGATGCTTGCTAATGTAAACAAAGACCATATTACGTCACGCATTGTTTCTGATAGCGATGTTTCTGATAGGGCCGTGGGTGTAAAGCCAGCCCACATTTCCGATATTACGTCATATTGGACGCAAATCTGGATCATCTCCGTTGTTCCCTTCCCCCCCCCTCCCCCCGTTTTTAGAGATTTGAGTACGGAGGAAAAGAGAGAGGGTTGTATTGTCTGACACTTTGTGAGTCTCCTTACACACCGGGGACACACAGTTATGTATAAAAGACATCGAAAAGTGCATTTTGCATAATAGGAGACCTTTAAAGGGGACCTATCATGCAAAATGCACTTTTGTACGTCTTTTATACATGAATGTGTGTCCCCGGTGT